TACAAACATTTTATCAATATCTTGTTTTTCTCCAAATTGCTAGTTCACGTATTTCAATATTTTAATGAGGTTAGGTTGACATAAACAAGTTGATTTACTATCATGATGAATGATATATATCAAAATTATGAAGAACTAATGCATAGTTACTATGTCGTGGCCACGAGTTACTTAGTCGTGGCCACGATATAGCTAAGTCGTGGCCACTAGATACTATGTCGTGGCCACGAGATACTTTGTCGTGGCCACGAGTTACTAAGTCGTTGCCACGAGATAGCTAAGTCGGCGCCACGAGATATTTTGTCGTGACCACGAGTAACTAAGTCGTGGCCACGAGATACTATGTCGTGGGAACGAGATACTATGTCGTGGGAACGAGATAGCTAAGTCGTGGTCACGAGATACTTAAGTCGTGGCCACGAGATACCATGTCGTGGCCACGAGTTACTAAGTCGTTCCCACGAGATAGCTAAGTTGTGGCCACGATATACTATGTCGTGGCCACGAGCTACTAAGTCGTGGGAACAAGATAGCTAAGTCGTGGCCACGAGATAAATAACCGATCAGATTACACCATTTATATGAATTTCATTTATTTACTAGACATGTGCTATAGTACAAGGATGCCCCTACTTCACCACCCTGTAAAAGGGCCATTTATACAACTTATTGACTGGTCAATAATTTTACATCACTTTACGTCACTTTGACCCTGATTTTTGACCAAAAGATCTCGAAATTATTAGATGTCATCTACTGATCAGGTGCAATGATCGTCCTGGGTTATATAACCCATGGCTTATCCCTTTTTAATTATTCACCAGACAAGGGTTTACCTTATAGGTTATCTACTGTCCATGGGCAATGTCCCTTCCAAATAAAATAAACCTAGACTTATTCCTTCTCAAGTTATCGTATAAACAAGGTTAACAGGCCGTAGTACGTACAAACTGACCAATTTGGTCACAAAATTGTCCCAACAAAGAGCTATAGCAACAATTACTGTCTGATGGACCTTGGAAGGTGATTTTCTAATATGATCCTAAAGACAATTACAAAGTGAATATCTTCAGTATTTTCAAAAATTAATGTTGCATGTAAAAGTAAGTTGTTAAGTTTAAACAAAAATCATAATATATATAGTGTATTCTGATTGGTTAATTATCTCGTGGCAACGACTTAGCTATCTCGTTCCCACGACTTAGTAACTCGTGGCTACGACATAGTATCTCGTGACCACGACTTAGCTATCTCGTGGCCACGACTTAGTAACTCTAGCCACGACAAAGAATTTCGTGGCCACGACTTAGCTATCTCGTCGCCACGACTTAGTAACTCGTCGCCACGACATAGTATCTCGTCGCCACGACTTAGCTATCGTGTGGCCACGACTTAGTAACTCGTGGCCATGACATAGTATCTCGTGGCCACAACTTAACTATCTCGTGGTCACGACTTAGCAACTCGTGGCCACAACATAGTATCTCGTGGCCACGAGATAAATAAAAACACGCACATGTCACCTTTGTGCCACCGTAATATTCAGAAATTTACAGTTTTAAAAAAATGAATAATCAAGAGTTGATCAAATGTTTATCTGGCTATATAAGCAATGGGCAATTTCCATGTAAAAATAGCAATAGATTTATTAAAAAAAAATCATAAATATGTTATTTTAAGTCCAGTTTTATCAAGTTAACACTGAATATTTAATCTATGAGGATACATAATGGAGAATATTTGAGTTTTTAAATTTGATCTTGATCTTGATCCTGGTCCTTAAATCTTTGTGAACACTGGACCTGGTGTCTAAAATCAAAGTTCTACTGTGTTATGATATATGATATGCAGCTAAAAGGTATAAAGGTAGGTCATGAAAATACAAGTATACATTAAAAGTTTTAATGTGGGAAAAGTCTACAGTTTTCTTGATATCATCTTATTGTTGGATATTATTTCTCCTTTTTCCTCTTCTCCCTTTTCTATCAGGATATTATAAAATACTAGACTAGACATTTCTGATAGCTTTAAATAAAATATTGCTTGTAATATTATAAACTGTCTGTTTATTTTAACCAACGACTCTATCTACGTTCAATGTATATCAATCTTCCATTTGGAACTTAAGTAAACATCTTTGACAAACATTTCAGCACCATTAAACAAGGATGTCTCTGCTGAAAAATACAAAAGTTGTCTGTCACTTATACTTTAAATCTCCATACCTTTTACGTGAATACAAAGGTGAGTAATAGTCGGCATTAATGATGTATGATGGCTTTTGGCTTTCTAGTTTTGATTTCCTCCCAATCTCGTTTGAATATTTTATCAGAGAACGTAACATCTTTTAAATACTTTCTCTTTTGCAAGAGCGTGTTCTTTCTTGTTAAATTTAAAGTTATAGATGAAATGTAAGTTGTAAAATTGTGACAGTACTATCAAATGTACCATCTGTGGAATGGCAAATATACAGAGCCTTTAAGGACAGCAAATCCTGCATTTTCTTAGACGATGTTATTCTGTTTGATATTACCAAAATAATGTCGTATGAAACATTAGGCCAAAATGCAAATTTACCAACAAGGAGTATCGACTCATTATGTTATTGCTATTGAAAAACTTGAAAATACCAATATTAATTGTGAACACAAACGTATTCATGACGCCTGCAGAAACGTCAACTCTTAATCTATGTATGTTATAAAATCTGACAGTTGAGCAATGTTTATCCATTCACTCAATTATGGACAGAGAAATCCCCCCATAAAAAATGAAACATTTTAAACAGTGTTATTTAACTAAAAACCTTGAACACAGTGACTCCATACAAGATTAACGGACCATCTTATAAAGGTATGTTCATTGTAAAAATGAGACATTTAAAAAAAAACAAAGGCTGTTTAAAAAAATGTAAAACATCTATTGTTAGCACACGTGACATTGATCTTGTGACTTCCAGCACTGGACCATCCAAGGTATGTTCCTTCCAAATATGTAAATCATCGGTCTATAAATAACGGCCGTAACTAATATGTAAAAATCTATTTTGGCACTCTTGACCTGGACCAACTGACCTCTTACTCAATTCAAAGAAAAAAGACCATGCAAGATTTCTTCCTACCTAATCTGAAAGTCATCTGTCCACTTATAAAGACTGTTGTTGCCAAAAAGGGAAAAATCATTTATTTTAGCACTGGTGACCTAAATCCAACTGACCCCCCTAACTCAATCCAAACGATGCAAGTTATCAAATAGCTAAAGACTATTTATAAGCAATTGTGTAGAATTCTATAATTGGCACCCTTCACAATAACCCACTGACCCCTACCTCTACCACAAGGAAGAATATCATGCAAGGTATTTTCCTATGAAATACATCTGCCTATAAATAAAGGCTATATGGGAATATGTGTAAAAATCTATTTTAGCACTGGTGACCTTGACCCACTGATCCCTTCCCAAATCAAAAGGAGCAAAACCATGCAGATAACCTTCCTTTCAAATATGAACTACATCAATCAATAAATAAAAGCTATATGAGCAAAAATGTCAAAACCATTTTAGTACTGTTGACCCTGACCCCTAACTCCATGCAAAGGAGAAGGCTTCAATTTTATATTACTAACAAATATAAACGACATCTGGCAATATGATAAGGTTGATACACCTGTAAAATGTAAAAATATATTTTCAACATTGTTGACATTGACCTTGGCACAATTGACACCTAACTACACCCAAAGAAGGATGACCTACCTCGGCATGTTTCTAGATCAGTGACATTGACCTTTGCCCAAGATATCTCTTACTCTTTAAAATATAAGAGAATCATTTAATATCCACTTACCAAATATGAAGGACATATTTATATAAATTAAGTAATTAGCAGAAATGAAAGATAAATCCAACTTGCCGGAATAGGTTAACCATACAAGGCCCTATTTTCAAAGTGATAAAAAAGGTAATAACTGGGGAAAATTGATATACACAGTTTTATAACTTGGCAATATATGATGAACTTTGTATTGAAAAGTAAGTGTTGAAATTATGAAGCCATTAGTATAGATTGAATTTAAGATATATCCAACTTTCTGGTTAAGGTTAACCATTATTCAGTTTCTAAGTGCTGAAAAGGGCAATTACTTGGTAAAAAATGACAGCTATAGTTATGTAACTTGCCCAGATAATGTATTTTTATTGATTAGTAAGTGTCCAATTATTAAGCCATCGGCAAAGGTAGAACTTGAGTAAAATCTAACTTGCCGTTTTAGGTTAACCTCATGCGGACAGACGGACGGACGGATAGTTAAATTATTATATGCCCGGGGGGCATAAAAAATGAAAATGTATTTATATATATTTTATTATAGTCTCATCAATGTACACTTTAATATTCAGTAATAAACCACCCTTTTTAATAAAGTACATTGCCAATGTAAAAGATTTATATGCGACATTTTATCAAACATGCACAAAAAATTCAGGAAACAAAAACATCACAAGACTTATACATGTATTTCTCTTACATGTAACCGAAACATTAAGATATTTATATTTCTCTTCTATACTTTTGTACAAGTGAAAACTAAAGTATCCTCAAGCTTTTTGTTGGATTTAAAATGCAGCAGGAATGCATATCATAAAATTTTATTAATAGTATCTCATTTTCAGTGTATGATTTAAACAATGAATATAGGCTTTTTATAACTTGTTAATACATGTGGTATATTTTCAAAATGAAACAACTTGCACTATCTTTTTCCTGTGTATAGTTACAATAAGCATACCTTTGGACAATATTCCATGATATTCATACTGGTAATATCGTATATCAGGCTTTTATAAAAGCGCGTTATTCAATATTTTTTTCCTAAAGATATACAATGCTCAAATTCGATATTAGAAAATATTGCTTTAAATTCTCTTGAAAATATAAAATAAGCATGTTTTGACTTCACACGAAGTATATATGTTATGTTAAAAATCTTACACACAATAGTTCAGCACAATATGAATATATCAGTTTTTTAAGGAAGGACCAATTTTCTTTGACCTGTAAAATAGAACGCACCTTCCCATACATAGTTAATTCATTCTTTTATTCAAATAAAACATTTTCAGTGAGAATTTTATAGGTTTCAATAAATTTCTGTTGTTAAATTATTTTACTCAAGGAAGAGCATAGTACAAAATGTATATTTTTCAAAGACTTCAATATATTTGTGAGGTACAATATTGATTCTTGGCATTGTTACTAATTTGAATTCACAATATAATCCTAAACGAGCCGGCATAAATAGTTAGGACTTTATAAATGATCACTGAGTGTCCGTTTGTCTGTAACCCCGCCTTAAATTGGGTGTTAATTGGACTGAAATATAATACTTCAAAGCAAGCATCCTCGGCAATCTCAAAATGGTTGTAAAATAATGATAAGTGTTTGATCATATCAGGACATATTTTGATTAACGGGGAAACGTTAGAAAAGTATTGAAGCATTGGATATATAATCATCAAAACAAATTACCAAAAAATACTATAAACATTAGGCCTTGATTTCTAAATAGCGTTTTACTATTTCATGTTTCGAAAAATAGTAACGGTACATAATCACTGTAATCACTGTAGCTATAATATCACCAGGCAATATTTTATGACCGAGTGAACTGTGTTCCAAAACTTTCCTGATGCTTTAACGATTATTTCTTCTACAGCTTATCTGGAGGCGATAGTTGCTGCAAAATGACATCACACCTGCTTCATTTTTATAAAGCAAACTGGTATTCCTGGTTGTCTCTTTTTCTTTAGCAGCATGCTATCTATTGATTTCATTCTGTTTTTATTTAACATGTACCGAAATCTTTCCTTTAATGTTGTTATTTTTATCTTTATATGCTTCTTTTACATCCTAAAGAGGCTTGTTATTTTCTACTTATATATTCCAATATTCAAAACAAAGCTTTTTATAACAAACCCTGTGATCCATTCTTAAAAAAAAATAATATGTATTACGCCTCAAACGTTGCTTGGAAAACGTCATTCTACAGATCACGTTTAAGGCTGAAATATTGGATTAATTGTTTCTTCTTGACTATCATACAATATGAGAACTATATCATCACAACTTTTTTTACTAGGGACAAATTATTCATTTCTAACAACTTTTTGAAATTATGTAATATATGCATTCATAACAACGTTTGCAATAAATTGCATGCTAAAGTATTATTCATTTGTAGAATAGAAAGACTGTGTTTTATGTATACACTTTTTATAGACAGTCCATATACGTAGAAAATTCTTCTTTCGTTCTGATGTTAACAGCTTTCACGAGAAGTTCAGTATCACCAAATATGAACGAGGCTTTTATTTGATTATCCGCTTTTGATTTGCCATTTGAATGTTTAACTATTAGCGTTCCAATGTGTTTGCAGCCAATGTCTGTTGTGTACTCAGGATCAATTTCTTCTGTACAATATACAATAATGTTCGTTTCGTCAGGGTAAATTGGTGTGAGTGGACCTGTAGAAATAATTTCCCCAATATTTACTTCTTTTCCAGCTCGTATCATAATCGTGAATATATTTAACGCTTCTTTCACACCATCTATGAATATTACTTCTGCATTTTTATGTTTCTGCTCGACAAAAGTTGTACAAACAGACAATCCGTACGTATGGGCCATTATTCTCGAACGTACAATGCCCTGAAAATGTCCAAACCGTACAGCACCTTTGAGGACAACAATACCTGCTTCTTCCGGTATAATTATTTTCTTTTTCTTTATTTCTTTCTGTATTAGGTTTTGGGCTAATTTACATTCGCCAAACCCTCCAACTAAAAGAATTGTTTCGACTTTTTGCATATTTGGCTTTGCAAATATCTGTTGCACATGTTCAATCACGCAATGAATCGGAGTCTCAAACAACTGTTTAATGACAGAAACTTCAACTCTCATTTTGTCGCTGGTTAATGTAACCATACCCGACAACCCCAGCTGGTCAATTTTTTCCTCTAATGGAACTCTGTTACTTTCCTCCTGATAAAGCTCTTTCATCGATGCAGACAGTCTGAATGTTATTTTCCCCTTTGACTCGGGACCGATGCCTCTCTTTTTTATTTCGAAATCTCTAAGCAGTTGAAAGTAGTCTTCCATTTGCTCGTTTTTAAATCTCTGCATTGTGGTATTCCCGAATATCTTGGTCAACCATTCTAAATAGTTGTTGTCAACAACTGTTCCTCCCCACGGACCACCGCTTGCTTTATGGAGTTCCTTTAATGTGTCATCGATTTGTTTCTCATGCACTGATATATCTGCAGTACCACCTGAAACAACATTTACAAGCGAATGCATTCAAATATTTATTTTAATTAAACAAGTGCGATTACTGATGGCATGCGTTTTGAGAGGTGATTGGGCAGTTTATTCCGTATATGTCGCGGTTGCTTGGTAGCATGTTACAGGAACTGTGTAGCAGTTTACATAAAAACTATTATCAGGCCAGAACGCCTTTTAATTCGAGGACAATAACTCAGCCACAATTCGTTTAACTTAAATATTCACAGTACTGCTGGTAACGATCCATCCTGTAACATTTCATTCAAATTACATAAGTAGTTTAAGCGGATAAGTCCATTCAACCTGAAAACCAGTTAAATAAACGCACAAACTTTAGGCATCGATCAATTCTGTAAATTTTCGTTCAAATTTCATTAGTAATATAAAGGGAAGTAGGCCGAACAAACTTTAAAAACAAAACTCATAAAGGTAGACCACTGCTAATAGGCACTGTTAGGAACTGTAAAATGGACAGCATAGGACAGTTATATGCCTTAAAGGACACATGTATGCACAATTAAAATAAAATTTACCGTGCGGTTTATGAGTTATTGACATTTTTCTGAGCTACAACTTTGCTAATAGAAGGACATTATTTTCAGAAATGAAAAAAAAAACTCTTAATGGCGGAAATCTATAATATCATCATTATGAAAAATGTTTTCCTAATAAACAAAAAATAACATCCAGGTAACAAATTACACATGAAAAATATTGTTCCTAAACAAGATATCTTACAATGTATAAAAATGTTACCCTTCCCGACCCACTTAAAATATTTATTTGACCATTTCCGTACATAAAAAGCCTTTATATTTAATAAACTTTGAAAATATCTGGTATCATTTTTGCTATTTAATTTGGCAATATTTAGCAATTAAATACCTATTATAATTATTTAATTAATATCAAACACTTTTTCTTTCCATAAGGGATCCGAGAGATACATAAATAATGTTAAAGAAGAAAAAAGAAATATTTTTTTGCCCCTTCTGGAGTTTGAACCCAAGCCCCTCAGTTTCAGTGCAGTTGACAAGTGAGACTATCCTATTTGAATACTCTTCAAAGTTGTGGTCTACCTTAAAGGGCCATAACAGTAGATTTGAGGAGTAGTCAATACAATTTTTTTTACAGACGGCCGCCGGAGAAATGATATATATGTGTCGCCGCTCTGTAGTAAGCGACACAAATATTCCGTGTGAACCGTTCAAATTGTCCAATTTATACAAACATGGACTTTTTAAGATGAATATGGCGAGAAAAGTACTGAATTGATATTAATTATGCAGTGCATATCGCATCATATTCACCTTCTAAGAGTCCAAATCTTCTTGATACATAAAAAGCTTATGTAAGACTTATCACATTGGTCAATAAATAGGGCATCTACGGCGCAAATCGAAATTGTATTAGTTTGTTCACTTTTTTTATTCTAGAGCCTTAAGTTTTGAATACTACGCATCCGAACGTAAATATGCGTAGTATTCTCAAACAAGACGCCTTGATGCCTTAATGGCCCTAAGTCGCTCGCCAGAAACAACTGTTTTTCAATGTTAAAAATTATTTTTCAAATAATCTTGCCGATAATTAACTGGGCCAAGATGGCCCTAGATCATTCATCTGACCCATCATTTCATTGATCACTATATACAATGAAATATTTTGTCCTAATATTTTAGACAGGCTTTGTTAAAAATATCAATGTTGCAAGCGTGTTCCTACGAGACTATGTAGAATAAATGCAGAATAAAGACCACTAGAGCAGGGTTAATTTAGATGGGACAATTTGTTTTATAATTTATGTGAATGGATACACAAAATATATGCAAATATGTTAGGTGAAGATGTTTGAAGTTTACAGTTTGGGACAACAAATTTTTGAAACATTCTATATGGTTACATAACTGTACCTTAAAAAAAATAGGTCAAACAATGTAAAAAATATCAAAAGTAAGCCAGCTGATACCAAAATCGAATTCAGCTTAAAAACACACCCTTTGACCAAATTTCAAGTCATAACCCCAAAAAGCAAGAAAGTAGGTCAAATGATATCAAAAATATCATGAATTGGTCAGTTGCTATCAATATGAAATTCAGCATCAGAAATTACACGCCTGGTCCAAAGTTTAAGTAGGTCACTTGGTTAAAAATATCAGACGTAGGTCAGCTGATATAAAAATTCAATTCAACACAAAATTACAGAAATTACACACCAGGTCCAAATTTCAAGTCTGTACATTACAAAAAAGTATTTCAAGCGATAAAATATTAAAAATAAAAATATCGAAAGTAGGCCAGTTGATATTAAAATTTAATTTAAGATCAGAAATTAAACACCTTGTCCAAATGTCAAGTGGGCACACCAAAAAACGAGAAACTAGGTAAAACGGTATCATTAATATCAAAATTAATTCAGTTGATATCTTAATTCAATTCGCATCAGGAATTACATTCCGGACCCAAATTTCAAGTATTTACATAAAAAACAAGAAAGTAGGTGACGTGGTTTCAAAAATATCAATAACAGTTTAACCGAGAAAGTTATTTACACTGCAAACAGGTCATGACATTCAGACCTCCTCCCAGCTATTGAATATTTTTAGGAAAATTGCATTACATGTACATATGTATGGCAGACATTCCAACATGAGTTGTTTCCCTTTCATTTTGAAGACATGCCATGGCATGGGTATTTTAGTTTAAGCGGCCCCTAAAAGGGCCAATCAAATTGATATGAGTAATTTTGATAAAAGATTACCTAAGAATGCTACAGACAAAGTTTGGTGATCATCCACAATTACTTCAGTAGAGGATGGTGTTAAAATGTTTTTTTTAGTTTTAGCTCTACAGACCATCAAATTGATATGAGCAAAATTGATAAAAGACTACCTAAGAATGGTACGGACAAAGTTTGGTGATTATTCATCAATTACTTCAGTATAAAAGACGATTGAAGGTTTTCTAATTTCAGTTCTCTTGACCCCTAAAAGAAGCCAACTGAATGTTATGAGCAATTGTGACTATCACAAGGATACTACAGACTAAATTTGAAGTAAAACTGTCCAGCTGTTTCAGAGAAGAAGGTAAATGCTGACGCATGACGGTGGACTACGACGCCGGAAATCCCCCTTTGATACTAATAGCTCACCCTGAATAGTCGGTTCTGGTGAGCTAATAAACATTAAGACGACAACTTAATAAGACTAACTTGACTTTCATTTACGCGTTCGCCAGCGTTTTTTACAATCCGTGTGTGACTTGAAGTCGCAATTTTGCATTCTTTGGCAAGTTTGAAAATCCAGAAAATCTATATTTATAAACAAACAGTGAATATACACGGATACTGAGAAAAAGTATTTCTAAGCCGATCAGAGAACAACATTTTAAAGCTTTTTGTTGATTTTTAACCCTTCACTTAATGTTTTTGTAATTTTAAAGTGCATTATGGAAAGGATATCATAAAACAATTAGTAAATGTAAAAGAAAATATCACAAATTAATTTATTAAATAAAATATTTGAATATTTGAAATTAAAACCGTAAAAGATCTTTGTTTATGTTACTACGAGTATTATTTAATGATTTATGTCACTATGAGGTTTCAATTGTTTTATCCCCATAGAATAATAAATCGCTTTCTTGCCAAAAAGGATAAAATGATCTAGATATTTTAATTCAAAATGCATGCATTAATTGGCCAATTTGTACAATGAATAACAGAACAAAATTAGAAGCTACATTAAAAGTCACATGAGGATTGACATAGCTGCAACGCATATATATTGTGAATGGTGTGGCATATATGGACATCAGATCATTTCAAAGCGCAGAGATAACTATCTTTCGGGTAGGCCTACAACGTAGGCTACCAAGACAAACGTTGCTGTAGAGCCTCAAAAAAGGACCAAACAACAAACATTGGTTCGGATTATATCATAATCGGCCCTGTATTGCTAAAAGTACTATTGGTACAAGGAAAATATTGTAGATGGTTTTCGTTAATTCCAGTTGACAAGTAGTTCAAGAGCCACCTTGTACATCTGAACCCGGTTGTTCAAAAACATTGCTAAGTGATAACCAACGGATAAAATGCATTATCCAGTGGTTTACTTTAAACACCATTTTTTCTTACAAATATATATATATATATATATATATATATATATATATATATCTGTTTGTTTTCTTAACTTGAACATTTTATTTGAAGTGCATATTTTTTCTAAAAACAGTGTATTTTAAACCTTTATCAATTCAATTGTTGTTTGTTGTTGTTGTTCAGAAAATTCAGTTAAAAAGTCACAACATTCATATTTTTCAATAAAGCATACAAGTGTCAGTACTCATGTTCATGTTTTTGATTTTTTCTTATGTGTGTCTCAGAAAAAAAGATCTATCGATACATGAAGGCTCAAAGCATGTTAAATTGATTCTTAGGGGGACTTCGTATTTCTTTAAAATTTCTTATTCATAAAAAATCGGCCATTTTGTTTCCAGAATCACTAACCGGCCCTGTTGCATTGTGGTACTTAATCAGTGGATAAAAACGCCATCCACTGATTAGGTAACCAGGGTACCATCCAACTGTCGAGCAATAAAATAAGGATTTAACCAGTGGCAAGTTGTCCATTGGTCACTTTTAACCAATGTTTTGGATAATCGAACCCAGTTCACACAGTCGCTGGACTGTTCTATAAGACTTCTGTACATTGACTGAAAAACGAAAAAGCATTTTTACAGCAAGAAGTGTCCATGCAAATGGTGGTGAAAAGTATTTATTATACATGTCAATGCATCTTCTCACAAAAACGAGATTGTTAAGTCTTTCTTGACGCCTGAAAATTTTTAATTTTCAATTTTCTGCTTTATTCTCCTGACCAGTCCTTGCGACTTCTTTTTGTTTCCCATAATTAAACAAAATGCTTTCAGGTACAAGATACATTTAAACGTTCAGTAGTTTTTTATTGCAGCGCAATGTATCAGTGTCTGCAATGTATCAGTGCCTGCGACAGTTTACAAAAAAGATTTCAGCCTTTGGAAACGGGACAGAGAGATTACACAGATGCATTTAGGAAGAGTTGAAGTACTTTGAAGGTTTGAAATAGATTTTTTTAAAAATAAAATATAGGAGTTACAGAAATTGAAGCCAGTGACAGGACTTATTCAGTGACCCTTGTATTATCATACTTTGGTAGTTTTCCATCCTATAATAAGGGACTTAATTTTCTATAAAAAACGGCTTTTCATTGATTTATTTTAATTAAAAATATTTTTTATGTGAAACAAAATTTATTAATTTTAAAATCAATTATTTTGGTTAGAATGAACTGCCGGTTTAGCATGTCGCATTAATGTACTAATGTAACAACTTAACTACATGTGCAAGGCTTATTCTAGGATTCTCGAAATTAAATCAATCAAACTGATACAAGTCATTTTTCTTTTTTTTCTTAAGTATTTTTCTAAAGCCGATTTATGAGGTAGAATTAATTATTGTTTTTTTAATAATTAGGCTAACCTCCGAGATCGATCACCATGTATTGTCTCCCTGCTTTAGACCATGTCTCCTTTACATCTGTAGAAATTGTCTGACACCAAATAGACGCTGCTTCTGGTTCAAAAGACAGTTTTAGACGTGCTTTTTCTATGCCAGCCTGTTAATTAAAAGCCAAACTAATATTATCAATAAAAAACAACAATAAAAATATAACAACAAACAGACAAGAAATATTTAAAAAAAACAACAACAGCAGAAATACATTTAAAAAATGTATACAATTTTAAAATCGTTTTGATGTATGCTTTAGTTTCATAAAAGCAGAGTGAAGGCCGTATGTCAAGTTTTGGTTTCACTTATAAAATTTTTATCGATATTCTGAGCGGTATTTGTGATTATAAGTTAAGAATCGCTGTACTCCTGGACTTGCTGCAGTATTGGACTTGCTGCAGTATTGGACTTGCTGCACTATTGGACTTGCTGCACTATTGGACTTGCTGCACTATTGCACTAGCTACGCTTCTTAGACTTGCTGCGCTTTTTGGACTTGCTGCACGTTTATACTTGCTGCGCTTCTTGGACTTGCTGCACTCTATTAGACTTGCTGCGCTTCTTAGACTTGCTGCACTTCTTGGACTTGCTTCACTATTAGTCTTGCTGCGCTTCTTGGACTTGCTGCACTATTAGACTTGCTGCGCTTCTTAGACTTGCTGCGCTTCTTAGACTTGCTGCACTATTAGACTTGCTGCACTTTTTGGACTTGCTGCGCTTCGAGCACTTGCTGAGCTTCTTAGATTTAATGCGCTTCTTGGATTTGCTGCACTTCTTGGACTTGCTGCGCTTCTTGGACTTGCTGCGCTTCTTAGACTTGCTGCGCTCCTTGGACTTGCTGCGCTTCTTGGACTTGCTGCGCTTCTTAGACTTGCTGCGCTTCTTGGACTTGCTGCGCTTCTTGGACTTGCTGCGCTTCTTGGACTTGCTGCGCTTCTTGGACTTGCTTTGCTTCTTAGACTTGCTGCGCTCCTTGGACTTGCTTCTTTTCTGGGAAGCGGACCGTTCTTAGACTTGCTTCTTTACTGGGAAGCGGACCGTTCTTAGACTTGCTTCTTTACTGGGAAGCGGACCGTTCTTAGACTTGCTTCTTTACTGGGAAGCGGACCGTTGCTAAGGCTCAACTCTTCACTAGAAAGCCGACCGTTTTCTAGACTTGCTGCTTTATTCGGTTCCCTCACTGGACCTGCTCACCAACAAGGAGACTTGCTGAAAATTAAGCCTTCTGACAATATATAAAGCTTCTTTAGAAATCATTTTTTTTCTTCTTTTTTTATTTCCAAAAAATACACAACGCGCGAACCGGATAGAACGCCACAATTGTGACGTCACGTCAAAACAATAAATAATACAAAATGGCGGACATTTGTGTTTCTTTTCATAAATAATATGGCTATTTTGACACCGTATAATTACATTTACTTAAATTGGCCACGATTTAAGGGTACTGGCATGATAACAGAGACATTTTAAAGTTAACAATGTACATCAACGATCTTATATTCTGAAAGATTTAATTTGAATTGTCTGATATATCAGATCATTAAAAAGGCCGAGGCTTAAACATAAGACAGTCAAAGGTAATTTGCCCAATGAGTTTATGGTTTTTATTTTTATTTTTTATTGTTAGTCACATGACAATAGTATTCCATTAAACATCTGTGTTCTCTTACAGCTAAAGTTAACGACTTTTAAATATCTTTCAAAAAGCAATCTGTTTAAGAACATTGCAAAGTTTTGTAGTAAAGAATAAAACACACTACTCTTTACCGAATCTTGATGGACCGTTACACAATCACCTGAAAGGTAATTAGCTACATGAAAAGCAATATATATTTCTGTATTTATGTATTAAAAACGTAATTTACATTTTCTGCTGCTTCACGCATGAACTGCTTGGCATTATCATTCCATATGGCAGGTACAGTAATAACATATTGTATGTCCTCATCAACAATGCCGGTCTTTTGTTTGTTGAGTGCCTCAGTGAAATGTTTTTTGAGATACTTTATTGACATTGTAAAGATCGTCATTGCTGGTATTGATTTACCGTTTATATCTTCAACGGTGGTCGATCTTGATAGATCCTGCGAACATAAATAATTACCTTTTTATAATTGAATTATTTATTATTGTCGTTTTATCATTAACGCCTTCATTATTAAAACGCTAACCATATATCTTACGATTTTAAGATGTTAATATTGACAATATAACGGCGTTAAATAAAAATATTGTTTCTCCGTTCATATCTTTAACGGCTGTTCGCTCATCGTCTCGAAATTCAAATACGTAACCATAATTGTGTTATTATTCACACTCGTATCTGCCATACAACTTTAACTATGTTGAAGAAAACATACATAAAGAAATAACATCATTTTGAAAATATTGCTTGGCCTTCAGTCTAAAAGTTCATATATACTATTGAAAAAGTTGCAAAAAAAAAAAACAAACCCAAACTTAAACGTTTGAAAATAAAACATTTGTTTATTAAAGAAATTAAACCCTTGAAGATGTTGTTGTTTTTAAGAGTTGTTTCCTCTTTTAGTCTAAGTAATTGTATGTTAAACATAAACGTAATTGTATAAAAAATTGAGATGACAAGTTCTGGTGTATATCTTATCACGGATGCATAATCCACGCTTTGACCATACACAGTTCTTCAAATGGTCAAAAGCAAAATTCTATCTTGAATACTTTGTGTATTTCTCTATTAAATATAATTTACAATCACACGCATAATTCATAAGTTGAACATAACGTTTATTGAGATATTTTGGTGACAAAGCTGAAGCTGTTAGATATGATTAAAATACTGTATGTTCAATTCAGTGACCTTTCAATTACCTAAAATATATAACAAGTGTTAAAAAGACTAAAGCTACATATTTTAACCTAAAATTAAAACAAATGAAAATTTTATCATAGTGTTATTCAAGTCTTACGAAGATAGTTTAAAAAAACAACCTTATTGTTGTGAAGAATCATTTTAAATCTACGAAACAAACGCCAGCCCTGGTGCTCTTTATCTTCGACAAGGGTAGCAAAGTGATTTTCTGCTTCATATCCAAACGAGTCAAACTGCCCATTTGGATCGAGAAGGACACAAGTTGGTGTTTTCAAAGATATAAGCTGATCGCTTCCAGCGATCCACTTTTGATTTGTCTGTATTTTTAAAGGGTCATCCCGGAACGAGAAAGCATAGCCACTGTATGTTGTACCAAAGTCAAACGCAACCACAAGCAATGCGGAACCTGCCATTTTACATCACTGAAAAAGAACAGGGTGCTTGAAAAAAGTACGAGATTTTAAAGTCCTTGGGTAAATTTTATTGTTTACAGACTATTAATGTGGCTTTTAACTGAAGTGTAAACCGTTAATTTTATAAATATACAGATAAAACAACAAACAGTAATGAAATACATGTTTATATCATATTAGAATATGATTTATATATAATAATATAATGCCTTGAGAAGACATTCCTTTAAGATATACTATGCTCAAATTTGATAATAGAAAATATTGATAATTGCTACCTACACAGTCTCTTTGTAAATATAAAACAAAACTTGTTTTAACTTAAAATAAAGAAGAACTGTTATATTTAAAACTCTACACATTATAGGTGGTCACAATAGAAGTATAATGTATCATTAAAAACTGACAAAAGACCAGCTTTATTTGACATGTATTAAGGAATGGTTCACCCATTCTTTTATTTAAATTAGACAGTACGAATTTAATAGATTTCAGTAAGTTTCAGTGATAAAAATATTTTATTCAAGGATTAATAAAGTATAGCTTTAATATTTATACACAAAATAATTTAACGTCAATAAACTAACTTTATAGAATTCTGAATGAGCATACATAAAAATTGAATTTGATTTGGAAACAGCAAGTGATTTTAAATAAGACATTGCTTTGAAATATTTATCAAAAGTAAGCACGTTGGGCTTATTTTTGTCCTTCTGAACTTAAAAAGATATTATGTAAATAACACATGGCTGTCGGGGTGATAGAGGATATTGTCCACAGGAGAACAGGTATATTACCCCGAGGTGCAGCTTCTTTAATCCCGACAGTCATGTGTTATTTAGTTTATTATATAGAGGATATTTGTTTGTTTTGCATGTAAGATTAAATTATATTTCACTGAGTGAACACCAGATGCTCCCGGCCATTTCACCTAAACTATAAAAGCTATGGACTTGAATCTTTTTAGCAGATAGATCTCATTAAGAAGAAGTGTATTGCACAATAACCGGTACTTTGCATTTCGTATTTTGAGTTATTGCCCTTTAGCGGCGTTTATAAATAACCAATATTTAAGAAGAAAAGCCCAAGTGACAGCTATACTGTTCACAAGGCGACACATCCGATTCGCGGAGTTCTAGTTGTTATGTTATGATTTACGATTTAATTTTAAATACATTATTGCGATGTACGTTAGGGCCATCGCCTATGAATGTGTTGACCTGAAACGCGATAGACGATAGTACGATGGTGAAAACGCGAAATCACGAAACTACGATGATGAAAACGCGATAGTACGATGATGAAAACGCGATAGTACGATGATGAAAACGCGATAGTACGATGATGAAAACACGACAGTACGATGGTGAAAACGCGATAGTACGATGATGAAAACACGACAGTACGATGATGAAAACGCGATAGTCAGAGCTGCATCAGTACCAAGGGTGTAGTACTTAAGTACCAGTACCAGTACTTGGCAAATTATGCAGTACCATTACCAGTACCAGTACTAGATTTTAGCTCGGTACTGCAGTACCAGTACTTTTTTTGGTGAAGTAATTAAGTATCAGTACCATTACTTTTATATATTCATCAAAGTTTGAATAACTACAGTGTCAAACAAATAATTGCAAATATTATTCAGCAAAGAAATAAATTCCTAATTTACTTTAAAGCTGCATACCTCCAGATGACCCAAAATATTTCAAGAAAATTAAACTTGGAAAAAAATTACTAAAACTTTGAGAAAAGTAAACAAATTAAAGATTCAAGTGATAATTTTTATCTTATGTGCAATAAATGACTGTATTTTGTAGTGTTTATCACTATATTTCTACTGCGTTACTAACGCAGTAGGGGCTATTTATGCATGTTTTGACCTCTTTTTGGTAATTTACGTGGATTTTAAGTGCCGATTGTAATGTGTCAAGTACTTTCTTTGTTCATTTAACAATATTTTACCTTTAAATACATTTTCAAAATTTTCATGAAAATTAGGATGAATCTGGAGGCATGCTGCTTTAAAGTTTTAACATACTTTTTACAAACAATATTTACAACATATATTCATGTCATATCTAATTGTTTAGTAACCAGTCAACTGTATGGGTTTTGTCCACTCTATAAAATTTAGTGATGGGGTTTTGTCCACTCTATAAAATTTTGAGTGGTGGGGTTTTAACTGATGGGGTTTTGTCCTACATTCGTATAAATACAATGCAAACATCTTTCATTTAAAAAACAGCAGTCTTTTGTTGCCTTTCACAGAACAGAACAGAACAGAACAGAAACTTTATTTCTTGGTTTAAGCATAAAAAGCTCATCACCATATTAAATATACAAATACAACATATAATACATAAATGACACATGACATGAATATATATAATTGCAAAATAATGGTTTATTCACACCTCTGTTCAATTTATACCAAAGTAAATAACAACTTTTTGTGGTGCTAACAATATCACTTTTTTCACTTGAGATGGGATTTTTTAGAATAGAAGAAACTAATTAGTGTTTATTTTGCTAAGGATATTTTAGGGTAAAGAGTTATTGAGTCTGTTTATCTTAATTTAATTTTTACTTAAAGTATTTGGTGTTTTTTATGATGAATACTATGTTACTATTTGAAGGAATATTGCAGCAAATTATCTTTAGATTTGATAACTTACTTTTTCACAAAAATAAGATATAGTTAATGTAATTTACAGCTTTATTTTATGAGAAAAATTGATGTTATTTTTAATTTTATCAAAACCAAAAGTACTGGGTAATGCAGTAGCAGTACCACTTTTTAAGACAGTAATGCAGTACCAGTACCAGTAGTAGCAAAATTTTGTAAGAGTAATTCAGTATCAGTACCAGTACTTGCAAAATCGCTGCAGTACGTACTGCAGTACCAGTACCAGTAATGCAGCTCTGGCGATAGTACGATGGTGAAAACAGTACAGTACGATGATGAAAACGCGAAATCACGATATTACGATGGTGAAAACGCGAAAGTACGATGATGAAAACACGATAGTTAATTGTATTATCATTATCGTACTGTCGTATTATCGCGTTTTCGTTATCGTACTGTCGTATTTTCATCATCGTACTGTCGCGTTTTCACCATCGTGGTTTCGTGATTTCGCGTTTTCATCATTGTACTTTCGAGTATCGTGTTTCAGATCAAATCATTCATAGGCGATGGCCCTAACGGCATTCCGTACAGAATTTTCTCAATTCGTTTAACTAAAGACAGAAAATAAATGGAAATAATTTGTAAAAAAAAACAAAAACAAACTTTATTTCAGTTTTATATTCTTATGTAAACATTCAATGTCATACAGAAAAAATACACGCGTTTGTTTAATTTACTTTCGTTCAAGTAAACTTTATTCGATAGCTTTTGACTTCATCGGTTGGTTGTGCTTCTGTGTAAAACAAATACGAATTCGATGAATAGAACATACCTAATATGAATCAAAAACGCTCATAAACATTATACTTATTTGTACAAATGCACATGATACAGTAGTTAAAGTAAATGGATGAAAATTAATTAATAACAACTATTTATTATCATATAGAACACTTTAAAGATCCTGTAACACATTTTTTTCATGGTTTTATTTCATAAATATGATGCTCAAAATAAGGTTTGTAAATATTGTAAGTTCCAATAAGCATTATTTATAAAGATATTACCCATTTTAACATTTCATGTAAATAAAGGGAGGTAATTAGAAGTTTATTATCTAAAAATTCTAAGTCAAATTTTCCAATAAGAAATGAATGCATATAATTTATTGATTAAATATAATGTGCACAAATATTTGCAGTACACATTTTACATATTCTTCGACGTTTGAAAATTGTTTTATTTGCATAATTATATACATATATATTTTTTTTGCAAGTGTGGTATACACACAGTGACAATATCAATCACAAAACATACAGGATCTATAAAAGAGATAAGGGTTTAGAAATCAGGGATAACGTGTAGGGCCATAAATGATAACGACAATATTTCAAACGTGTTATAACTAATAAGAAAATTTAAACTTTACATAAATTACAGTATAACTACGGGTTTTCTACCCACCCGTTATTATCAGCTCTGTAGGCTCAGTGTCCTGTTTAATACACTATATCATTTAATATAATATAAACGTTATCTTTCATTGACATCAACACGCGAATAAAGGCGTAATAACGCGAACCAAAATGCATAATAACGCAAAACAAAAGTCAGTGGCATAGTAATGTAAGAAAGGAAGAACTATGTTGATCTATATGAATTGATGAAGATGTGCATTTTATTTTCGTTTTTTTTTTCAATTCTGTACGGATACGTCCTAATATCACACTCTGATTTTTTAATATTTTTTTAGGAAATGCCTTCCCCAAATTATCACCCAACCATTAGATACTTTTCTTCAAAGACAAGGCAGACAATGTCTCCTAATTATGACTTAACTGTAACACTATCACCCTTTAAGCGTACCTATCAATAATTAAGATACATTTTCACCCTGTGACTTATTTATATTTTACGTTTTCCAGATCATTTTACCTATAGCCTATTACGTATAACTTAATTAGGAGTGACAATCACATAAGAAGACACTACAGGTTATTTGGTAATTATACAGGTCATATCCGTAGATAATTGAACATATGACGCACGTATAAAATAACATAAAATAAGATAAGATAAGATAAGAAAAGAAATTTATTAACTATAGCGACATGTGTAAAATCAATTATGTGATACATGTGAATTCAGAGTAACTGTTTTACATCCTGTCCAATGGACATACACGTCACCAAGTCACCTAATATTGACAAATATCAAAGAGTCAAATAGTTTACATTATTATTGCGCAAATGGAATAATAGTTATTGTAATTTGTGTGTGTGTGTTTGGGTTTGTTTACCCTCGCCACCGGAAAGAGACCATATGGGCGAGCATATACTTCATTTATAACCTTTTAAAAAGGGGGAGCTGATGT